AAACAGCGAGGATTATTTCCTTGATAACCTCGCGCGTCATGCTTGTCAAGGTATTCAACGAGTTCTTGTTTCTGTAACATACTAATTCTAATTTAATAAAACTTTATATTTATCAAAAAGCCTTTTGAACCATTTACGAGTATAACTCGCTCATTTGAGGACCGGTGGCATTGAAGCGTTCAAAATAACTATAACTTTATTTAATAAAATTAAAAGCTGTTCGGGAACCTGAAATTGTCTCAATATTGTTACCCCTGAATTTCGTAGCAATTTCATTAAGTTAATTCTAATTTTTTTTTGTATTCAGGTATCATCCTGACATGGGCTGTGGAAGGCCAGGGTGGTCATCACCACGTCAATAACCACAACAATGATTACATTAAACAGAAGATGCGTGAACGAGGTTTTGTTGCAGACGAAGAGGCTGAGAAAATTTTGAAAAGCAAGATGCGCAATTATTTGGCCAACACATCCATGGTCTTCCGGCGTGCTAAGCCGACTTCCTGCCTTACATAATTAATCTGCAGTGACGGATTTGGAACATAAGTTACCTTCTTACATTCGGATATTTATTCAGAGAGCGTAGTTGGGTGCTCATATTTGGTGTGAAAATTTGCGGTTGGTTTATTACATGGAGAATTTAAATTTGGCTCATGCTTAGCGAATGAACTGTCAGGCAGCGAGACAAGCACGCACACTGCACAATCGAGCGCGTAGGCAGTTAAATGAGTGGCACAGTTCAGCGCGTGGTCACAGTCAAATGAGTGAGCACATGCAGTTGAGTGGGTAGGCAAATTAAAATAAGTGCATGGGCACAGTCAAATGAGTGGGAGCAGTCGAGAAAGCGAGGAAGCATTAAGCATTGTAGCCGTCGAGATTCATGTTACCACTCATCTAGATAACAGATGGAGGAAAATCTTCAGTTTAACACTCGGTAATTATGGTAAGTTAGATAAGGTCAAAATATCGTCATTCATAACCTATCAAAATTTTCATTTCTGCCAGCCGCTGGCGCAAGGACGCCCATGCTCGTCTAGCACGTAAATTAGCAGCTTTATGTCCGCTTTAGGTTCCGGTTGCCGAAGCGAAATAAGAGCCGAATCAAAATTTTGGTATTAACTTGACGAGCTTGGAAAAATCAAGGGGCGCGCGTGGGGCAATCGGGGAGCATACATATACGGCGTAAATTTTGCCTTTTCCGGTTACTTGGCTCATTTTGTAGCTGCTGAGAAGGCGCGTCTATAACGCAGCAGAGTGCATGTATGTGCGGGCTCTAGCTTTTGCGTAAAGCAATTTCAAAAATATATAAAATGAACATTTGTCAACAATATATACAAAGATTTCTTTTAATTAAGTCTGTGTCTGTGTTTATAGATCATTATTCACGTTAATTGCAAAGCGTTTGCACTCGTTTAAAAGCTGCAAACAAGACGCGTTCACCAAAGCTAATACCATGGATGTACATGCAAATAATTTTTGCGTAAGGCTGTTATGAACTTTTATAAAATGACCATTTTATAACAATATTTAGAAATTTCCATTTAAAAATTTGTATTTATAGAGCATTGCAATGTTTTTCGAGATAGGCCGTTTTGAGCTTATATAAAATGAAAATTTTACATATATATAGATATAAAAAAGTCACATTCATTGCATATTATTCACGTTAAACTGGACATGAATAAGTCTAAAGACGCGTGCTGCTACCATAAATGCAACTAATTGGCAATGGAAAAGCTAAAATATCAAGCAAATTTTTGGCATATTCTTCATTTCCAATAAATATTACTTATTTGACTCTCCTGAACAATTAAAATTTCCTAAATAGGCTATCTTCAAAATCTATCGCTTCCCATGGTTTTCAAGCTACAGCATTGAGAGATATACCATTCGATTCGTAAAAAAATCTTTTGAGATCATTACTTGGTCATTTTTCTATTTCGCTTTTATTCTGGTTATATATTGAAAAAACGTGGGGGGGGAGGGGTCATAATTGGAAAAAAATAAAAAGAATTAGAAAAATGAACGGATGCTCTTTATGGTTTTTACGCATTGAATGACCATTTTACGCTCCCTTTAAGCGTCTGATGTCTTTCAGAGAAGCACGGCCGAACCTAACAAGCGACTAAGAAGAATGCCCCCTCTCCCAACCTTATCCGTAATAGGCTAACTTCTGCGTCTCTTTTTTTTGGGCGGGAAGTCAAATTTGGTCGAGGGTCTTCCGAGCCACTAAAAGAGCGAGATCTCCAAGTAGGATTATAGACTTGTTGAACGATGAGTTTGACAATGGACATCTTCCGAGAGATATGTACTCTTTTTACTTACCACACAATTTACGCGGGTCGGATGGTCAACATGCTATCCCCTGAGCATTACTTTGAAGCCACCGTTTTTTATGAAATGCTTGCTGATTGCTTTCGTGCACATGCTGATCTAATTCTCAGAGTCAACAGGCAATGAAATAATGTTATGTTGTGTGATGAGTAATCGTAAGAAGAGGGATTCGTGGTTTCTAGGTTGTTCGGGTGCCTGTGTAAACTTGGCTCCCAGCAACACCTGAATAATTGTTCTCAACCTACCAAGCAACTATTGTTTTTGGACTCTTCGCTCGAAAGTTATCATACAGAAATTCTGGTCTTATCAAACTCTATATAAAGGTGTCATTTTGAAAAAGCTAAAAGAATGCTGTAAGCCTTGTGAGTATGGCTCATGGTTTTTTGTAGGATTAATGATCTTCTGGAAACCGGTCCCTTTTCAGACTTTTTTTCATAAAAACGAGATTTGGATCGAAAATATGACTCGGCGTTGCTTTAAGTTCTCCCTTCAGCCAGACCAGGATGAGGGTCTTTGCCATTAGAGCGTGTAAAAAAGCATTACTGTAACAACCATGAATTCTTGATGGCAGTGAGCTTGACAACTTTTAGAAAGTTCAAAAATCGAACTTGAAGATCAAGCCTGCTCATCACCGATTTGCTTTGCTAGAGTTCACGGTAGTTTTCTTTCCATTCTGGGTTGCATGTTAAAGTAATTAACAGGTCATGCCTGTCATGCTCATGCGAACACCAAGGGCTTCTAGTGAAATAAGTGAGGCAAGAGCGCCACGAGCACGTCCATGTGACGTGCTCGTGAAGGAGCTCTCAGACTTAATTTTTACTGAAGAAGCAAAGTTTCCTATTCCCAGAAGCCGCTCAATTTCTATTCTTGAAATGAGAAAAACTACTAATTTTCTAATAAGCTCAATTGTACTTCGTTATCAACTATAATTGCTTCGGGAGATATGAGTAATTGATTATGGGCGTAATAATGCGGAATCTTTTTCTATTTTTTCAGCCTTGTGGAAAATCCGGTTGCATGAAGTGCAGCGTCATTAGCTGCTGTTTTTGCAGCTGATGGGGCCCTTGCAATAATTGCCGATGCAATCGTTTCTTCCATCCTATAATCATTGCTGTATTTTTTAGCCTTTGTATTGAACAATGGCAATAACATTTTATTATGACTTTTCTTTCCGTTATAAATAGACGTGTTATTTTAAAATACTAATTAAATTTACTTACTTACTTTATTAACTAATTACCTACTTAAATTTCTATGCTTATTTAATTTTTTTCTAAATATCTTCGAGGTCCGGATTGAATACCAACAGAACTTTAACTAGGTACCGTCTTACTAACGCTGCAGGCGTATCATCTCACCACGATTGCATCTCCCTCGATCGTCACGCTGCGGTCAACTCATTTTGCTTTTTCCTAACAAGTGTTTATCTAGCAACTCATTCCGTTCTTAAAAATTCTGCACCGCTCACTGTTAGCGGCATAGTTCGTTAAATCGTTAGGTCACCTGAAAAATTATATGAATAAAACGGCAACATTTTAAGAATTTGCATACCAAGACTACAACATTCTTGTAATGCGCTGCGTATGGTTTATGCGTTCACAAGGGTTTGAAGACGTGAGTTTCCTTTAACTTCTTATCAAAATCGGTTTCTGTGAAACTAACAACAGCAATAGTAAAATAATTGAGTATGAAAATACGCAATATTGCGTATGAAAATACGTCTTTCACTTGAGTAGACGAGTAAAATACTTTTAACTCAAACACGAACACATAAGATCTAAAAACTCATGTAAATATTCAGAACATGATTCCTAATTAAAAGACGTTCCAAACATTCCGTTAAACCAGGTGTGTCGAGAGCCAGCATCAAACTAAAACAAATAAGTGGATTAAAATCGCCTATAACTTAGTTGTGTACGCCATAATCGCACCTTAAGAACGATTTAGCCAAAAAAAATGTACGCGTCAGGACTTTAAATTCAACACGCTCTTTAGCTATACGTGTTCAATTGCATGTTAATTCAAACACCCACGCGCGGCTAATTGCTGACTTCATTCACTCATTCGGATCCGGTATCAACTTCAATCAAGGTTATCTTACAAAAAAATTCCCTCACTTTAAATTATATTTCTTGAAACCAGTTTCACCCAGACGCATGACATCCGATAGCTGGGGGCAGTGAGCATGTAACAATTTCCTCTCTTCCACAGTCTCTGGCCAAGGTCAATTATTTTTACCTCGCGTACCCTATACCAGGGCGATACTCTTTTAAAATTTCTGTATAATTGCATCACTTGTTTAAAGTGCATTCAAAGGCACCTCAAATGTCATTACAACATGGCAAGCAAACGATGGGAGTGAGCAAGTTGAGTCCTTGGCCTGTGTTTTAAGACTGAAATGCGCTACTAAAATTAACGGAACAATTTCAAATACTATTTTTTATATAAGTTTTTAAAACCTGTGACACATCAGAAATATACAAATTAATTAAGACTGATAAGAACATTATTGATTTATGGATCATGTTCAAGATTTGACGAGGGCAATGAGGTTTTTTGTTAATTTAAATTCTTCCATAAACTTTCCCCGACATTGAAAAATCATTTCGTATTAAGTGCAAATAAAAAATTTTATGGCTGCCGTATGGGATCCATTTAAATTTTCAGTTTTCTCCAAAGAATTAGGTGTTTAAGTTTTCTGCTTAGAAGCTTAAATATAAAGCGTTTGGATTTGCACTGATGGAATTAAAATAGGTTCCATGATTCAATTGCTTTGAACCATATAAAGTAGAAAGAATTTTATAGCGGAGGAAAAAGCACGAAAATTCAAAATATCTTGTATTTATGGAAATGAACTGTATTTTCGTCATACCAGTGCTTAGGATTGATGGATTAGACGGAAAATGTGCAATCATAACATTATTTTAACATAAATAAATTTTATCTGTATCAATCTCATAACTGAAATTAATGTTATCCGATACGTATCATCTGGCCAAAACTGGACCTAATTCTATTAACTATTAAGGAACTTTTCGACTGATCTACTATACAGCACAAAGCATAAAATCAAAGCTACGATCTGATACCACTTAGTAACATTTCAAGCCCCAACCGTATATGGTTCATTATTGAGAATTATGTAGAAAGTTGATCCCCAGATTTTTACATTCTTAATAGATAACATAACAGTCTAGTGCAAACTTCAACAGGAGCTTTAAATTTAGTCATATCCATCTGTAATGTGGGGCACGCACTTAATTACCTTGCGCCATTTAACTACAAGAACCTGCGGCCGGCGCTAGTCCGGCCATTGACGTTCAGGCGACGGTGGTGCGAGGGCCGTGCTACGTGCTCAGTGACAGCGGATGTGTTAGTCAGATTTTGCTGCTTTGACTTCAGATATTTTAGAATGAGGCCATATATGAAGTAAATAATTTCGAATTAAATTTAAGTTGTACATGAAAATTGTGCACAAATGAGAATTCAAAATTCATTTTTAGATCAGTGTTTCTAATTTTTTACTGTTAATTTCCGTCTTAAACTTTACAGTTGTTTTGTGAAAAGAGAAATGTAGGAAAATTTCAGTTTAAATAATGTACAATTTTTTAGAGAAACATTAAATTAACTTAAATCTACCTATATACGAATCTGGATTTTAATAATTGCTTTTTCAACAGACACCGACGGGGTCAATATATGATTCGTCGATAAAGCACGACTTTTCTGTCATAATTAAAATACACAAATGCCGTAATTAGAGTTATGTTGTATATTTATTAAGTTGTACTGCAAATTTCCAACTTAGTGTCACCTAACATTTCTCAATATATTGTGTCATTTGAAGGACTTAGTACAGTATTACTACTAACTAAAATGGAGTTGAACGTATGCAAGATTGACGCATACGGTACACACAACTTGCTCCAGAGCGCGGAAAACCTGCTGCTCTCTAATTGTGCAAGGCGACCTTGGCCTCACGTTCTAGTCTGTTTACATTATTTTTTTTTGCCTCATTGGAGATGACGGTACTTCTATAGCAAAATTTTAATCCTATTTTTGATGGATGAAACACATCAATCAACACTTAAAGCTTTCAGTGCCTGCATACGGTATGGATGATTTGAAATGCCTCATAGACGGCATTTTCTTATAAATAGAACATATTGATTGTTGCTTATCATCTACATAATAATTTTTAATTATGTTTTAGTATTAGATATGATATACAAATAAATAAAATACTAGATAAAATGATTTATAAATAAAATGTAACAACGCCACATTGTATGCAATGAGCTATTATTCGTGACTACAGGCGGTTTAGTACCAAGAAAATTAACTTAACACGAAAAATTAACTTACGCTTGCAGAATCTAAATAGAACGTTTAAAAGGCAATAATATATGATCGTTTTTTAATGAGAAATTGATAAATTATGATCAGGAAAGGTTAGTTAAATGGTTTTTAACCTTCTGTTTCACCACATTGGAAAATGATACTTTTACTTGCAGACAATCACCATCAGCATAAAATTTATTCGTAAAATTCAAGATTAATCAATAGGTTATAGATATAATTCAAACTTATGCAAGCATAGAACGACGTCAAAATAATGTACTTTAATTTCAATCCTCATTTGGAAACTTTTCTGTAACTCGTTCAAAAGGCTTTTTACCATATGAAAAATATATATTTAATATGATCATCATCTTTAATATCTAGCGTTGAATTTACAAAGGTCAGCCATATATTGTATCATATCAATATATCAGTTCTTAAACGTGCATGCGTTCATTAAGAAATGATAATTGAACTAAAGATTCAAAATATTTTATTTACACGCTCCCGAAGGGCCAAATTGGCAGCACCACTGTTTTAGCGGCGACATTATTCATGAAGTGGTGGTGGCCCTGATGGTGCGGAAAGAAAACCTTTATAATCAACATGAACAAAGGAATAATATATACAGACAAGCCTATGAGATTTGACTGTAACTTTTAATTGGAGTTCATTTAAGGTGTGGGACAATCGTGTCCTTTACCCCGCAATGTCGCCTGTGAAATTTTCGACGCACTTTGTATATACAGTATATAGCAGCTTTTTCGCTGATGAAATAACTGTGAAACAACAACCACTCTTCCGCGGCGCTTGAATCATATTGCTAATTGGTGGTTACGATTGTAAATTGGTTATTAGCAACTTAATTTTTATAATGACATGTAGACGTAAGGAGGAACGTTCTAATATTACTACGCTGTTTCAAAGTTGTAATATTATAATTTTAATGAAACTGATATCAGAGTTCGTATCGATTGTTGCTGCAACTTGAGTATGCAACGTAGAATTAATGCCGTAGCATTATATTTTGTCGATATTCATTACTTTGAATATTGCTTTGAAATCATTACCCATTAGAATCGATTCAATGGGCAGACCCCATTAATTAGCCATTGCGATCTAACAATCGGGGCTAACTTTTACATAGAAATTTATCGTACCAAGTAATATCGAGCCCAACTACTTATGTCTCTGTATGTAATGAATACTATGCGATGCATTAGTATATTTTAAGGAATGGAATGTGCTTTTGACAAATTTATAACTAATGAGAATTATTTTATTGCATCGAATTTATGATAAAATATCACCATCTTTAAATCGTGAAATAAACAAGCCAAGAAAACGAACATGAAGGAAATGAAAATCATCTTGTGAGTGTCATTAAATGTTTAGAAAAAGACAAGTGATCAAAACAACAACATAATTAATTTTTCGTAATGGCACTGATCCTTATTTACGGTAGCAATTGAGATGAATTATTTTCCGTAGTGGAGAAGTAATGTAAACGCATTGAGTTCAATATGAACCATTCAACGTGGATGAGGTGCTGCTTTGATTATCTTGAGACACATTTGTAGTATTCTAATACTATTGCGATAAACAGTATGACGTTGAAGTGATTTTTTACATGCGATTAAGACTCAACCTTTATGACGTGACTTCAATCCAACGTTGATTGTTGGAGAGCTAACGTTGACCCTGGAGTTTATGAACGATGGTCAATAATGCTCGATCGATTGGCAACAACGCTGACCATTGTTAAAAATTAGATTTTGGTTAAATGCTCAAATGACGTAATATCCTAACAACCTACATTTTATTTTAAATCAAGCAATGAATAGTTGGTTAATGATTTATGAAAATAGATTGAAAAAACTGTGATGTTGTAGAGGAAAAAGATTTAATTGCTGTACATATAATTTTAAGTTGTTATGTAATAGGTTAGGATTTTGGTTCATCATTTTCAGTTTTCAATCACCTTAGCCGTGACCTCCAGCAGTAGGGCGTTTTGTCTACAGCTGCTCTGTAGTTTTGTAGCTGTCCAGTGTTTTTGCCGATGTGGTATCCGATGCCGATGTAACGAACAATTCCTGCATGTATACATGAGCGATAGCTCTGTGATTATATATGAGATTGTTCGATTTTAGAGTGAATCGTTTCGTGTTATATTGATTATTTGTGTGTGTTAATTTATTTATTATGAATTTATATTCTCTAGTAAGGTATTTTAAGTGTTATTTTTTGTTCTATTTCAGGAAGGCCTCGATATTTGGACTTTAATCTTGGTGAGTAAATTGGAGGTGATTGAAACGCACGGTTAGGGTTGTGCATTACGGTTAAGCTGGTTATGGTTAGGATTTTAGGATGTTAGGTTTGTTGTTTTGCGTTTCTATTTATTCTTCCATTAATTATGTTTACTTTCAACTGATTGTTTATTGAAAATCCACCGTTTGGTAAAGTGTTGGCTTATTGAAGTATTGGGTAAAGATCGAAAGATCACGTGCTGTGTGTCGGGAACACTTGTTCGTTAAAAGATTGGAAGCTACCTACAATTTATCCATTTTGAATGGAATTTCTTCGGTCAGCTTTCGAAGATTTGATGTTTAGTTCTGGTTGATCAATATATTGCCACCAGAAATCAACACAAAATCGAGGTTTTGACCCCATTTGGGTCTGTGGTCACTGACCTGTAAGATCCGGCGAACACAATTTCGCTATAAATTAGATAAAGTAACGAGTAAACATGTCATCAAATGTGTGGTACAAGAAATTATAGTTTTATAGCCTTCATCATTGGGAAAGTTGGCTCGATCGTATCTACTTCTGCCAGAGTAACGCAAATTTAAGCCCCCCCGGTCGTGCAAATGGTTACAACCAACTTCGTTGCAACTAACTAAGGTGATATAAAAATTTTCAAGCATTCATAAAGCGACTAAGCAATTCATTATTGGAGTGTCGTGCGCGCTCTACGTTAATACATTGTGATTATGTTCGATCAATTAGTTTCATAAGTGAGAAATTACTGAAGGATGCAAGACTAAATGCTGCCTTTAATTACACTTCTTGGTACTATTATAGAATGAACAGAACAAAGATTTTGGATTATGATGAATTTTACATGGCATTTTTAACATTTGATGTGCGATGTTGTTTCGCTTACGGATTCTTATGTAAATTTATCGCCTTCTGTAAAAAGGCAGAATCGCAACACAACATTGTTGTTCAAAAATCCCGCGGGTGGCACACAGTCTAGTTTCTCTCGTGACATGACTTAACACCGAAACGTTTAATTTTAGAAGATTCGTATAAAAAAAGATCCGTAGAATTTTTTTACTCATATCTCTCTAATATGTTGAAAGTTGATGATGACTAACAACATAAAGTAACACTTTTCACTGTCAACTATTGAAACCAGTTGCGCGTCTCGGTAGCATCACTCTCGAGAGTTTATATAATATTAATTTATTACATTATTGAACCATTACTTATGCCACAAACCCAACCTGCAACACACAAACCTCAGGAGCACCAACACTATCACCGGCACTCCACAGTAATCGCCCGCACCTAGCAGCCAGCATCAGCGTCGAATGTCATCGCCTGCATCACACATCCAATTCCTGCACCACACATCCAATTTCTGCACCACACATCCAATTCCTGCACCACACATCCAATTCCTGCACCACACATCCAATTCCTGCACCTGTCTCTTATACACATCTAGATGTGTATAAGAGACAGGGACTAGCGTGTGTCTCGGTGGGGCTTGTGTTTGTGTTCCTCACGTCACGTTGTTTAGAGTGGCAAGTAACGCACCATAATCAGCATTAGATTTTTCCAATTAAACTTTTACCATAAATAAGTTTGAGATAATTTTTCATTTTAGAATTCAATGTAGTTACAAGTTTTGCTTCAAAATAACAAATGCGACGTTGTTAACAAAGCGAAAAAAATAACTGTGCTGAAGTTGGAATGATTATTCATTTTAAAATTCCTTAAAATTCCAAGTAATTACTAAACCTGAAAATAACGAAAAATCGGAGGAAAAATGGGTGCTGAAGTCGCGTGGTGTGTGTTGCAGGATGCGTGGCGCCCTACTACTACCTGCTGGAGCGCTGGGGCGACGCGGCGCTGCGAGACGCGACGTTCGTGCCGCTGTTGAGCCTCATGCTGCTCGTCGCGCTGTACACCGTCGCCTACGGCTGCGTACCCAACGTTCTGCTCGGTATTAATTCTACTGAAGGATAAAAAAATGTTATCATGTATTTTCTTCAAAGTTTCAAGATTTTTATGTTGTGAAGTGCACCCTATATAATGAAAGGTGAATAATCGTCGATGATCATGAGTTCCAAGATTTGTATTGATAATCAACTTATTGCATGATTATTTTTATTTTCATTTAGTATTATTTTTCGCACAATTTGTTTAAACAAAAGATCTCAACTGAAATATAAATTTCATTTCACGACGTGTGTTGCAATACAAGGTTAAGGTGGTTGATAGTGCGTTATTATCTGATGACATTATTATGGCACGAAGGAGAAATGTTCCCGCCGAGTTTCAAGGAACTGGCGTCGTCAGTAGCCATGGTGTGCGGGGCAGCGGCCAACCTCATCGTGGTTCTCACGTTCAGCCAACTCGAGGTGATGTCATGATAAAAATTTTACTAAAACTTCACCAGAATTCTTTAGTTATTTAACACTAATTATGATCTGAAATTGATTTGCGTAGTTGCTTCATCCTACTCTGCTCACAAGGGTTCAATTAGGAGTAAATTCTTCGTTCTTTATAACCGCAAGTTTGGGTTCCGTTTTTACGGCTTTTTATCGCAGATACTTGGGGTCTCTTATATAATAGATGGTTTGATGTTTATGGTACCCACGGCAGAGAAGTAATTTTTTTAAATTTTAAACAGATTTTTGGATCACAGCGAATGATAAAACCAAATTTAAGGCAAATATTCATTCAGCTACTTTTCAATGTTCAGTCATCACGAGTATGTCATGTTAAGCATTATTGGTTGTGTGGGTAAAATAACATTTTCATTTAGTAATGTAATTTTTCGATTTATACATTATATATATAATATGTTAAATACATTATATGTTCTAATTATGTTGTATTCCAGTAACTTCACCTTGTTTCATTCGCGATTACATTATTGTTATAGCTTGTTTTTCCCAATTGGATTCATTCATGAAGGATGATAAAAGTATATTATTATTAAATTGGTTTTTATTCGTAAGATTACGACGAAAACTTATGCAATTTATGAATTTGGTACACAGGGATGAGGGGCAAACGTTGGGATACGTAATTGATCAAAATTATTTATCGTGGAATGACGTCTTAATTGTGAAGGTTTTCAGTTCCTCGATCGTTACCAGTAATTTTTTCTGTTTTATTAATTATCTCATACAATTTTTCCGCCCAGTCCCAGGATTCATGAATACATATATTATAATGCAGTTGATAATGATTTTTCCAGCCATTTGAGCTTTATGTAGCGATTATTTGTTGCAGAGTGATAATAATCCTCTTCCAGTTTCGATTTATTTTAATTTTGTAATTTATTGCTTGAATTGTATTTATTCTGCACTACGTCATGCTCGCTATCATAGCATTTTAGTTGGCTATCACTTTAACAGTATGGAACAGTTGTTGTTGGATAAAAAAAATTAAGGCTGAATTAATATATTAATTGATAAGGGTTTTTATGGGACACGTTGGCTAGATCCTCGAACTAGGTTTCATTATATTTTGAACAGATTTGAGATATCTTGCTACATGCACGGGAAAGGCTGACATAAAGAACCTTTTACCTTAATTCAACGTTCCTTTATATTCATTCTCACGTTATTGCTTATAAACGCGTAATATGTACACATAATAATGTTATTTACACTCGTGCATGAGGCTATTATTTGAATCATGATATAGTCACTTAATTTTAAATGGAATATTGGCTACTTTAATGCTATAAGTCCAACTTTTTTGTAGGTGCTGCTTCACACCTACGGCCTATTTTGGATGTTGGCTTCCATCAATCTTGTGGCAGCCATTTTCTTCGCTACATTCGTCAGGGAAACTAGAGGAAAAACTCTTCAGGATATAACTGAAATGTTTGAAATGAATCAAATAGTTGGTGAATATGAAGAAATCGGAAGTTAAAGTGAATGGATTATTGTACTATTGCTATCTATTGTACTGTTTGCTCCTATGTTTTTCCATATACTCTCATATGTGTTATACTCAAATGTATTATAATCTCAGAAAACTACGAATAACTTGATATAAAAGCACAGCGTAATTATTTTCTGACATTTTGGTGGGGGCATTGGTGGAGCAGCATGTTTCTATTCAGAATTTCAATATTGTCTCACAATATTATAATTATATAATATAGCTGTTTCAGCGTTTATTACGCCGAAGGCCTGTCGCCGAATCTTAACATCGCAGAACATCCACTGCTTGTTGCGAGTCTCGAACTCGCAACTCGCTGCTTCAAATTCTGCTGTGCTTAACCGCCCGGCCTCCACGCCGATTCTGACCAGGAACTGGCGCACAGAGCTGGGATCGAACCCGCGCCTCTCTGCGCCAATCCTGATACTCTGAACTTTAACCACTGGGCCACCCTGCCCTTAAAATATTAAACAGATCGTTGACAACATTCATAAAATGTTCACACATATGATAGCCCTACCAAGCCAAACTCTCTTGTAATTATCAACTAGACAATATATCAATAGAATGTCTGCTCACGATGTGTCCTATGACGCGATGTAGAATACCTGGACTCGGCGCTGGCGACCAGTGCTCCGCTATATCCTGACGCCTGTTTAATAAAATCTTACCACACTTCTATTTAACTTTACTTCCTGTTGTTTATCTGTCTGCTACAAATCTTATAATCGATATTTAGCACACTTTACCTGTCCAATCGATATGAAATTTTGCACTCTGGCCTAAGGGTACGTACACAGTGGAAGCAGGTTTGCCCGCGCGGGCAACCTGCTCCAACCGGCCACAAGAATGAACATAGGATGATAATGTAAGTGTTCACAGTGGAAACCTGTACGAATAGGCTTCTGCCGACAACCTGCTTATACCTATTTACCGGAATGTACTGCACATTCTTATCTGCTCAACCTGCCTGGCATATGGTCATTTTTGAATTAGTTGTTCCTTTAAACCCTCCATTTTCTTTATTTCTTTGGAGGATTATCGGAGAATTATCGAAAGTGGCGCTGGCGTCCACTGCCTAATTAATCCGATAACGACA